GTCTAAAAATGCCTTAGGGGACATAACATCAACACTGGGCAGATGTCGATCTAAAACTTAAAACAGGTTAGTTAACCATTGTATAACTATTGTAGTAATTTACCGATGTAATAATTAAATTTACCAAATTTATAGAAATGTAAAAATCCTGAAGAGGGGTGCAAATTACAAGAAAATATTGCACCCGAAATGCATAGAAAATAAATAAAGAATACGAATAAAAGCTTTGTCTCTGATTAAATGCGGTCCAGGCCAAAAAAACAGGGGTTATTTATGTACAATTAACCCATAAAGTTTTTTTTTCATCAATTTTGAGGAAATATTTTTGAAAAATTGATTTTTTAAAAGTAAAAAAATAAAGTTTGGTTATTTTTTGAACAGATCTCCTATCAAATTACTTAAGAACATATTTAATGTCATTATTACAGTTTTATATTCTTACTGACAGACTAGTACAGTTTAGATGCCTTCAATGTTTCTAAATCACAATGGACTTCCAGAAACTTCAATTAAGCTTATACTCTGTTTTAAAGTGAAACAGAATACCTTGTAACTCCAGCAGTAAATTTAATAAATCAGAATATTTTTGATCTAATGTCATAGGCCTTCCTCAGTGAAGTACACAAATTTAAAATAAAGTGAACAAACATAAGCATATCAAATGCAACAGAATTAATTTAAAAATTAAAAAGTTCCCCAAAGAGAGTGCTCGTATAGAAAATTAAACTTAACAAATTAATTAAACAAACAAATAATATGAAAGTGCTAAAAATATAATATAAAGGTGCTCTGTTTATTCAGTTTATTCCCAGGTTAGATTTTATTTATTAAAGTATACTTGTGTTTATATTTGATATCACTGACATTTGATCCTAGCTATAGTTAAGTGTAAATAAAATAAGCTAAAAATCACATAGAACAAAGGGATAATCATAACTGCAATATAGATAATACAAGTGAATGTACACTACACATAATGCCATCTGTGGCCATTTAATAAGCAAGTCTGACAATCATAAGAGTTTTAAGTGTCTTCTGTCTAAGTTAAAAGGATTTTCAGATCAGCATCAGATATGACAATCCTTTTAACTTGTGAAAATTGGCAGTGAACCTATATATACATGTATTGATATGATATAAATGAAATTTTTAAGCTTATTTAATTTGTTTAATCACAGATTTTCTATAAAATTATTTTCCAAAATATAGTAAAATTTAAATATTGATTTCAAATTATTTTAAAACTATAAATTTTATTTTACCTGATTAACCATCATATGTTGTTGAACTCTGCTTTTACCTTGAAATTCTTTACTTTCGATACTTATTTCAAACATGGAACCACATCCACCTATCAATTGTATATTTAAAATGAAAAGCTTTTATAAAACTTACTCTTATAGATTTAATATTAAACCATTTCAATTTTTATTAGATATATATAAATCATTATTTAAACTATTTTTGCCTTGTAGACATTAAGAGGGTGTTTTTCATATGTCCATCATGGGGTTGGTCAAATTTGCAATGTGGCAGCTTGATAGTAAGGCAAGCCTGGCATATCCAGACCAGCTCATTCATGCAAAAAATCTGATCTATATCCTACAAAATAGCATGCCTTAACTGATTTAGCAATTTAAATGTCAATAATAAATTAGTCTGTTTTTTTTACATAAAAGCTAATTTGGACTAGCTTTCTTTAAAAATCCATATATTTTCTATTTTATGATTGTCATCACTAATATTCTATCAAGTATACATTTAAAAATTGTGGGACTTAGTATAAATATCATATCTTGTTAAAAAAAGTTATTAACAAATTAAAATGTGTGCATCGTTGATCCATCTTTTAAAACACGTTCATGCTTCAGTTGCATGTGCCACAGGTTGTACACCTACTTTAATTAAACATTACATATTAAAGTGTTGGTGAAATAAAACACAAATTCTTCTTTTTCTCAAGAACTTCCTAATGTAGGATACATCATTTTTTCCATCAAGTCACTCAATTACAAAAATTTCTTTATAAATGTAGACTAGATTCTCAGAAAAATGATTACAAATTTAGTAAATTTGCAAAAATTTCATTTACAAGAAGTTTTGTTTCTGATATTAAAATTATTTTTAATATATTTAAATAAAATGCAATTTTTAACACTATATTCAAATTTATATAAAATATTTTGTATTGCAAATTCATTTTTATCATGATAATTTATCACGTATTTATACAGTGCCAGCCTGAGGCAAGTTTCAGGATGGAGCGAGATCCTATTATGGCGCCCAGGGGTGGAACCCCAACCACACACTCGACTCAAGCGCGTCTCAACAGATAAGACAATTCACATACTGGCCCACACTTACAATTAAAATATCGAAAAGTGAAAAAAATAGTTATTCCTTTAATTTTCTTTACCACTGGGGCACCCCTTAGGACTTAGCGCCTGGAGTGGCTGCTCCATTCATCCTATGGTAGGGCTGGCTCTGTATTTATACTATAATTTGAGTAGCCAAGACTAAAACTAATTAATTAAACAAACATTACATAGCCTAAGATGTGATTATCAGTAATTAAGCTTTTTAGTACAAAAATGACTTTCACATTAGAACTAAATTATCCAATCTCATTACACACTGATAAATATAAATAAAATAATCCTCAAACCTTTTAACCAGTGCACTTCTAAAAATAGAAGCACTCTGGTTAAAAGGTTTGAGGAGTATTTTAACTAAATTATCATTAGTTTCCATAGGATATATTTAAAAATTGTTGTTTCAATATCATGTACATAAATATTATGAATATCCTATATATTTAATATAAAGTGCTTAATATAAACCATTTGTTGAATATTAAAAAATGTAATCCATACTTTACATTAGAGCAATGGTTTCTGCATGTGCTACAAACAATATAAATTTCTAATATTGATTAAAAATACCGTATTTACTCGCATATAAGATGGCCTTGCATATAGGATGAGGTGTGACTTTAAAGATCAAAATTAAAAAAATTACATTTATTAATACAGTTCTAATTTTATTTTGTTTAATCACAAATTAAATTTTATCAAATGTACATAAATGCACATACTGTTCCGCAAAAATTACTGGCATTTTAAATTTTAAAGAAAAATTTGGTAAAATCGACAACATAATTTGTTCATGTAAAGTTGGACAATTCTTAACAGTCGAATCCACTATCCATCAATTACACTTATGAGTTTCTCCAAATTCTGATTTCCAAATAATCATTTGTTTTCACGTGGGAATGGATTAAAACTTTTATTGTGCTCCTGTGTGATTTCGGAATTTCAATTTGGAATTTAATTCAACAGCTTTGCTTTTCCTATTGCTTTACTCCTGACAATACGCAAGAATGATTCAAACAATCCAGATAAAATACTTATGTTTTTAAATACAAGAGGATTAGCATCCAGGAAAAAATGCAAATACACGGTTCACAAAAATTATTTGAAAAAATGCAAAGAATCTTTCGCCCACATTTATAGGACGACCTAGGAATTTGAAGCTGTGATAAATGAATAAAAACCTTGTCTTATATGCAAGTAAATAAGGTAAATCAAAATTCATTATGCTATATAGAGAAATATTTAGTGTAGAATCTAAAAGTTTTGCTTTGTTTTGTTTTTTTTTTAAAATATAAATAATTGTGTTCTGTACATAATGTCTAATCACATAGTCTTGTATAAGTGATTCAAATAAATTTCACTGCAAATATATTTAATCGAACAATTTTGAACTTTTAAAGACCCAAAAATGTTCATGATATGTATATTAAACATTATTCCAATAAAGTTGGTTTTTTATAACTATCAATTTATTTCAGCAAAATGTTTATACCAATATAATTATGTTATGTTTATTCTTTCATCATAATAACTAGGAATTAATAAAATTTAAATTTATCTGCTAAAAGTACAGTTTAAATTTTCTGCCATTGCAAATTTCAAGCACATCCATCACATTACATAAAATCTTTCCTATTTTAATTTTTGCATTTTTTATTGTAAATTTTTTCTCAATGTTGTATTATATTGTATTAAACATTAAAATTGTTTTTGATAAAAACTTTGTTGTTTTCATTTTATTCTGTGTGTAGATCATGAGCAAAATGTATTTCTTATAATTGTACGCAGTTAAGAGAAGTTTGAAAAAAATATTGATATAGACTTGAATTAGTCTCTATCAAAGCACTAAAATTTAATCTCACCTGAAATATCAGATACTTTTATAGTAGCAGCCTTGGGAAACTTATTATGAAGTAATTTTGTTAAAACCTGTTCTCCA